ACTATGCAAAAATAACATAGAATTTTGGTTCTCTCCATTGCCATCTGGTGTTGCATGTTTATAACATATATTCAAACGTTGGGTTTGGTTTTTTTTTACTAATGTAGTAAATCCATTGTGGGAAATGCAGTGTGGCAGTCTGCATCCCAAACCCAGCCAAGGAGATAAGTAACTATACAAGCTTTAGAAGACATCTGAAGGCAGCGCTGTATAGGAAAGTTTTTTATGCTTAATTTTCTTTTTAAAAAAATTATATTTTGGAAGTTGTGCAGGATGGCTGGGGCAACCCAGTCAGATGAGTGGGATTTAAATCATAAAGTTGTTGTTGTTGAATAGGACATCCCTATTTTCATCGGAGAAATGTTGGAGGGTATGCACTATTAAAGCACCTGTTGTTTCTTAGCCATATGATTCTTATGAACTGACAGAGTTAGAGCTTACTACTGCAATGCGCTCTACATGGGGCTACCTTTGAAGGTGACCCAAAATCTACAACTAATCCAGAATGCGGCAGCTAGACTGGTGACTGGGAGCAGCCGCCGAGACCACACAACACCGGTCTTGAAAGATCTGCATTGGCTCCCAGTATGTTTCCGAGCACAATTCAAAGTGTTGGTGCTGATCTTTAAAGCCCTAAATGGCCTTGGTCTAGTATACCTGAAGGAGCGTCTCCACCCCCATCATCCAACACTGAGGTCCAGCGCCAAGGGCCTTCTGGTGGTTCCCTCCCTGCGAGAAGTGAGGTTACAGGGAACCAGGCAGAGGGCCTTCTCGGTGGTGGCGCCTGCCCTGTGGAACGCCCTCCCAAGGAAATAAACAACTATCTGACTTTTAGAAAACATCTGAAGGCAGCCCTGTTTAGGAAAGTTTTTAATGTTTGAAGTTTTATTGTGTTTTAATACAGTGGTACCTCAGGTTAAGAACTTAATTCGTTCTGGAGGTCCATTCTTAATCTGAAACTGTTCTTAACCTGAAGTACCACTTTAGATAATGGAGCCTCCCACCACCACTGCACGATTTCTGTTCTCATCCTGAAGCAAAGTTCTTAACCCGAGGCACTATTTCTGGGTTAGTGGAGTCTGTAACCTGAAGCGTCTGTAACCCGAGGTACCACTGTATCCTGTTGGGAGAGCTGCCCAGGGTGGCTGGGGAAATCCAGCCAGATGGGTGGGGTATAAATTATTTTTATTATTATTATTATTATTATTATTATTATTATTATTATTATCATCATCATCATCATTATTATTGTTATTATTACTAACACTGAGGTGTTTTTAGCACACACACACACCCGACCTCAATCCTGCTTGTTTAGGCACGCAACTGAAGTATATTCTAATTACCCAAAGTTGACAGTATTTCTTACAAATCTTTTGTCTCTCTCTTTCTTTCTTTCCATTTGCCTGGATGCTGTACCGAAGGCAGGAGGGGCTGGCTCAATAACAGGCCTCTTTCGTCCTTCGGCTGCCTGGTGGGCACCGGAGAGCAGCAACACAGCGTGAGTTTCGCACTTCTCATTAGTGCTAAGGGGGGCAAAGAGGAATTAACATGACTGATTCCTTGAGCCCTACTCCAAATGACAAACCCTGACGGCTGTATAATTTGGATCTTACCTCTTCCAAGACTCTGACATGTACCTTCGCAACTGAAAAGGAGTGTTCTAGGGGGAGGCTGAAAACTAATGGCTGACATTTTGAGCACACATGTACATAGATCAAGATTATCCCACAAGGATACGTCAGAGAGAGGGGTAGTTTTTCCGTATTAACAGTGGCATTTGCTTTCTTCCCTACATCACTTCCCTTAGGCACCTCTGAACTCTGGTGGGGGGAAATCAGGTGGGCCACTGAGTTTCTGAAAGCAATTTGCATCTCAGGGTTGTTGTTTTAAAAGTGATAAAATAATTGTGGCAGTCTTAGAAAGGCTAAGTCATGCCTTGTCAGGAGCAGAGGAAAATTAAACCCTGTCCTCATTTGACAAAGAGTTGGTGGTTTAAGTGTGAAAAGCTTTCCTCCGATTGGCAGGAGAAACAGCTCTCTGTGGCCAAATGAAGCTGCTGAACTCCAATGTGTTCCCTTGCTTGGTTTAGTTTCTGCTCTTAGTGAATTATGTGTGTTTATACAGAAAACCACAGGAAGAAAAAAATGTCTGCCAGGCTAAATTAATCCCATTAACAGAATAATACAGTCTGATTTCTGAATGGCAACGGAGTTTCTAAGAATGACAGATCAATCCACAAAGCCTTTCTGCATCAATAACAGGACTACAGTGTCGTCATAGTTTCAATGCGATGGGAGAAGGAAGCCCTGCTGAACAACCTGCAACTTATTTCTGAGTGAACCTGCTTTGCATCAGGCTGCAATGTAACCATGTAACTTATTCAAACGATGGGTTTTGCATAGTGATTGTAATCGTAATCATCGTGATAGCTGGGATATTTCTGAGCCAAACCAATGGATTCAAGTTACAAGAAAGGAGATTCCAACTAAACACCAGAAATAACTTTCTGATGGTAAGATCTGCTCATGAGCGGAAAGGTCTCCTCGGGAGTAGATGGACTCTCCTTCCTTGGAAGCTTTTAAGCAGAGGTTGGGTGGCCATCTGTCGTGGATTCTGTAGTTGAGATTCCTGCATCACAGGGGGCTGGGTCCCTTTCAACTCTACAATTCTAAGACTTTCAAATTCTGTCTGTGATATTGCTTCTCACATAGTGGTCATACGAACCTGCTCATTCCTTAATATCTGTATAATGATCGCCGAAGAATTGATGCTTTTGAATTATGGTGCTGGAGGAGACTCTTGAGAGTCCAATGGACTGCAAGAAGATCAATCCGATCCATTCTGAAGGAAATCAGCCCTGAGTGCTCACTGGAAGGACAGATCCTGAAGCTGAGACTCCAATACTTTGGTCACCTCATGAGAAGAGAAGACTCCCTGGAAAAGACCCTGATGTTGGGAAAGATGGAGGGCACAAGGAGAAGGGGACGACAGAGGACGAGATGGTTGGATAGTGTTCTCGAAGCTACCAGCATGAGTTTGACCAAACTGCGGGAGGCAGTGGAAGACAGGAGTGCCTGACGTGCTCTGGTCCATGGGGTCACGAAGAGTCGGACACGACTAAACGACTAAATAACAAGTAGTTCAACATTAGAAAATATATGATTGGTGGGTACAAGAATGTTGAGATGACAACTGTAGGAATTCTTTTCCCACGGAAGCCCAATAAGCTTCCCCCAAACTATCACACAATCCTCAATGCCCTTTTTTATTTTATTAGTGACCCTACAGTTTTTGCCATTGTTTTGCTGTTGTGTTTTTAACACCGCTGAGCATTTTTAGCACTTCCAATTGATTTTTTTGGCATTGCGTTTGTCATATTAATTTGAATTTAAGTGCTTTGGGAAATTGGTTTGAGAAGCAGGATATAGTGAACTTAAATAAATGAATAGTCAGAGAGATTTCTGCAGGGGTCCTATGGTGGATCCTTGCTTGCAGAACTCACTTCTGTCTGAAAGATGTCAGATCCACTTGCTCACCCTTGCAAAGATTCTTCTTTTCAGAGGGCTGTATATGAATTTACAGGCTGCGAGGGAATCCAGCAAAACACAAAAGCATTTTATACAGTGAAGACATTAAGGCTTAAAAATATTTGCTGCCATTCGAAAGGCAGAGATGAAGATGCTGAAGGTCATTGGCATAACTAAGGATCTTCACCCACCAGTGCAAATCAGCATTGTAAAAGCATTCTTTTCTGAGGATTCATTGCCATAAGTCTCCAGAAGTTGGAGTCTCTTTACAGTGTAGAAATGCAATTGGTTTTCTGGAGAGAGAGGGAGAGAGGGAGGGAATATCCAAGGTAGAGAATGCATCGTTGTGCTTTAGAAGTTCGCAGCTTCAGACTGTAAGAAGTTCTTTGGCATTGAACTACTAACTTCTCAAAAAAGAAAATCATGATTTGGAGCCTCAAAGGAATTCTTCTGATAGACTCCTAAGGCTTTAAGCAACAAGGAGATTCATCCCCCCTGCCCCCCAATAATGATTTCTTTACCTAACAGATGATGTGCTCGAAAGATAGCCAGAAGCAATGAGTGAGTACACTTGCATTAACAGTATTACAAATATGCCTAACTTATACAAGGGGCAATTCACTGCAATTTTAAGATATTGTACAGATATACTTTATATCTAGACAACCATGTCTTTAGCAAGACCTGTGTTATTGATTTCAGGAGTTACACTGACTGACATCTTCTGAGGTTCTGCCCTGAAGTATTTTTGGCGTTAGGTTTTATTCCATTTAATCCAGTGCAAAACTTGGAATTTAATGAAATAATAATCAGCTCAGGTAATCAATTTGTTTTGAACATCCCCCATGATTCTTCAAACTATGAAATTCCACTTGTTCCGGCCTCCGTCCACTGAGACAGATGCATTGTGGGAATAAGTGAACTTGAATGAGGCCTGTATAAAATTCACAGGAATCCATGGGCTTGAATGAAGATACACCATGTTTGCAACAAATCAGATAAGAACATAGTTTTGACGAGAGGCATTTTGCAGTGGTGGAAAGCCCTTTTATTTTTATTTTTTTACAGAAGTGAAGTAGCATTCGAATGCAGTCCAAAGACCCTTTAAAAAATAAAAGTAAAATGACACACAAATGAAGAGCTTAATGTGCCAGTTGCAATCCTGTGCACACTTACATGACAATAAGCATTGAATTCAGATGGATTTCTAAGAAACCATGGATAATTTTGCATTCTTATGCACACACATGCATTTTTCATTTCTTGGCTGATGAACTGCATTGAAAAATTCAGAAATGTGTGAATTTTTAAGAGTTGCTGTGTTTTGGTTGCCATATTGATTTAGAAAGTGAAAATTAGGTAGGCTTGCCTTTAAATGTGAATGGAACCAAATTTCTTCCCTATCCTTAGCCCCTCAGCTGTGCCATCCTGGAGCTATCACAGCAAAAAGCACTCGGGGAAGGGGGCCTGTCCCCACCTATAGCTCAGTTGGTTAGAGCGCGGTGCTGATAACACCAAGGCTGCAAGTTTGATCCCTGTATGGGAAATTTGCATACTTCTGCATTTCAGGGGGTTGGACTAGATGATCCTCAGGGCCCCTTCCATAGCTGTCAATGTTTCCCTTTTTTTAAGGGAAATCCCCTTATTCCAAATAGGATTCCTCGCAAGAAAAGGGAAAAGTTGACAGCTATGGTCCCTTCCAACTCTACAGTTCTATGATTTGACCCTGACAGCAGAAGCTGGTCCTCCATGCCTCCTTGATATACTTGCTCTGTAATTTGGGTGTAAGTCCCATTGAATTCCATGGCAATTACTTCCAAGTAAACATGCAAAGGATCAGGTTATAAGTGATCAAACCCCCTCCCCCCCAGTATATACGTATATATATATTTAAAGTCATCTGCGGGAATTATTTTAATTAGATTCATCTGAAACATGCTTCGACACCCTTCGATTCTCTCTGCTGAGCCTAATAATAAACAGATTTTGTTCAAATGGACACAAGTATCTTCTCATATCCTTCCGAAAGATGGCAACTGAAATTAAAGAGAGACGCTGCTTTAGCCAAAAAATACTTTAAAAGTGGAAGCCCACTGCACAGTCCCGAGGGAGCTCAAGAACACTAATTTTGTTGTCTGTGAGAATCAGGATCCCATCCCCTAATATTTGCCTCCTTCAAGTCTTAGTTCCAAACTGCCTCCTATTAAAGTCAGAGCTGGGGCCGTGCTGAAGCAAACCTTCTCGGCTGCCTTACGAGCCAGTGTGAGTTCAAGAAAAGAATTCACTGCTCAAGGCCAAATAGGCTTCAAAGCTAACAATCCTCTGGAGTCGGTGTGAAAGTGTTGAAACTGTCAATGTCAACTTACACCGTGCATAGTGAGTGTAAAACTTCAATAATGACATCATGGTGGAAAGGACAAAGGGCACACACTACACAGAGAAGTGCCAGCGCTCCTCAAATCTTTGAAACCTTTAAGGATTTATCGGGCCTAACACTTCTACACGTAGTCATTTGGGTCTTAGGCTGTACTGATTAAGGATTTAGCTTATTCAAAGGCTCCCTCTGATAGGAAGGATAGGGAGGTTTCAGCAGTTCTATTGGATTCCATTACCTTACACTTTAAAAAGAAAACACAGGAACTTGATCTCTTCCTGGCTTTCCCTTCTTCCTTTGGTGTCGATGCAGTGCTAGGGGTTTTCGGTGGTTATTCTTTGCTTCCTTTTGGTTCCTTCCTTTTCTCCCCCTCCACCTCATTCCACCCCCCTCCCCAAATATAACACCAGGGCAAAGTAGCAAATGGCTTTCCCATCACTTAGCCTCTCCATACTCAGAACAAGGATCCCAGCAGAGTTAAACGAATTCCTCTGCAGCCTCCTGCAGTTTTTGCCCAAACTCTCTTGTTTTTTGGCCTCCTCGGGGCGGCTGCAGATACGGCTTTTATGAATCTATGTGGACGTGGTTCAAAAAGGCAAAGTTCACCTCATCGCAACCAATGCTGGAAACAATTTTTGAGCAAGGCTGCCGTATGCGCACTGGAATGTGAATTTATTAATTCGAGATGGATCCCGAAAATATCAGACGTTTTTAAGGGTGCTAAAATCCAGCTTGAAGCCAACTTTTGGGTGTTTGGAAACAAGAGCCAGAAAAGGTTTGGGACTGTCTAGGTTTCCCCTCACACCAGCCCCACAACAGATCCTGAGCAGGAGTGTTTTCATTGCTGTAGCCCTTGCTGGGACCTTAAGGGTGAGTAAATTATCGTCATCATTAAAAACATCACCATCAAAGAAGCTGGGATTACAGCAATAGTACCCTATGGGAAGAATTTGCTTCCAAGCCTGAGCGGTCCTTTAGCAAAGTGCCTTGTGAAGAGCCCCTTCTGATGTCAATGGGTCTACGTAGGTTTATCCTGGCAGCAAGACTGGATCTGGGAGTAGGTGGCACACTGATCTACACCCCAATACCAAAACAAAGCATGCATAACATGCTAACTCAGGCTTCCTCAACCTCGGCCCTCCAGATGTTTTGAGACTACAATTCCCAGCATCCCTGACCACTGGTCCTGCTAGCTAGGGATCATGGGAGTTGTAGGCCAAAAACAGCTGGAGGAAGGTTGAGGAAGCCTGTGCTAACTGAACATACTAATTTTTATACATGCTAATTTATACATAATTTCCATACTTCAAATAGAAATATAATGTGTCTCATCACAGTGAAGACTATTACCAGGTGAACCGTGTGCCATTGAATCTGCTGTCCCATTTCTGGGGGGGGGGGGGAAGCATTCTGGGTCAAGCGCACATTGGAACGGGCATGCATAAGTCTGCCCCGCCCTGTTCTGCCCCTGCTTGCCCTTCATTTCCCATTTCTCCCTCTTCTGTGTCGAAACCGACCCATGTTTGTTAAGAATGCTGAGAATTGTAGTTCTGTGAGGTCAGCTCCCTTGACAAACTACTGTTCCCAGGATTCTTTGGGGGAAGCCATGACTGTTGACGTGGTATAAGTACAGTGATACCTCGGGTTGCATACGCTTCAGGTTACAGACTCCGCTAACCCAGAAATATTACCTCAGGTTAAGAACTTTGCTTCAGGATGAGAACAGAAATTGTGTTCCGGCAGCGGGAGGCCCCATTAGCTAAAGTGGTGCTTCAGGTTAAGAACAGTTTCAGGTTAAGAACGGACCTCCAGAACGAATTAAGTACTTAACCTGAGGTACCACTGTATGCTCTAAATGTATAGTGTGGATGTGACCAAATTCATTTCTAATACTGGCCCAGTTCACCCCCTTTTTGGCTGAAGAGCAGGGTACAAATATTCTAAACAAACAAACAAACTTTTTAGATCAAAAGGCTTAAACTTGTTGTATTTTCTGATTAACTGGGGTACGGTCATAAGATGACTAATTTTTTTTTTTTTAAGTATGCTGCTGGTTTTGAATTCAGAATTCTGCCAATATGCGAAGTCCATCAGTGGATGAGGATCAAAACCAAATCGAGTACCTATCAAACTCCAGGCCAGCATAGGGCACTGAGTCTGGCAATACTCCTCATGGATGAAACCCAAAATTTCCTCTTCATATAAAGGCCACACCTGAGCCATTTCTAAATGAATCTAGGAGCCATTATAGAGCAGTAAAACTAAACAATACACATGTATGTTAGGAAGACTGAAGGCTCCACCTGTACCTGTAACAGATGCTATTTTAAGTGACCCTAAATTTAATCTGACAAATTCATGATGACGTATGTTTGTGCCAGGAATAAGTAATACAAGGTATCTTAGAAGATGTCATAGAGAACCAAAGCCAAATTTAGCAGTAGACTTAAAACAGGGATGGGAGGACCTTCAGATGCTGTTGGACTCCAAGACCCAGGCCATTATCCTTGACCATTGGCCATTCTGGCTGAGACTGATGGGAGTTGCAGTCCAACAACATCTGGGAGGAGTACAGGTTCCCTATTCATTGGCTTTAAAAAAAATCAGCTTCTGTATTCCAGTCAAGTCAGGAAATCAACAGGATCATAGTCTTATGCCAATGAACTGGGAGGAGGTAAGAAGGAAGAAACAGTATTCTCTGGAACAGTTCTTATATATGATAAGTTGCATATTAATTCATCAAAAAGCACACCTATAATGGGTGTAAGAAATACAATCCTTCCTGGAGCTCACTATGAAACTTCCAGAGGTTCCAAGTTGCACAGGTGGATAATTTCTAGTGCTTCCTGCAAGGGCTTCTTCAAGGATAACTGTTCTGGCAGGAATAAAAACTTGGGTGTTCTGTGCCTATTTCAGTGGAAAAGACAGAGGAGTAAGTGAGGTCAGACACCCACATTCCGAACTTAGAGATGCAGATGGTAGGGACATCTTGACCTCCATAGACAAGCCACATTCCATTCTGTGCCCACTTGAGACGTCAAAACCTTTGCATTAGCTTTTATGAACCTAAATGCGTCTCTGCCTTCCCCCAGCAAAGAGTGGGACGCAGGGCTATTTCCACAAGACCAGGCTGATGACTGTAAGCAATCAGAGGGTTGCACATTGTGTAACATCATTGCTGGCAAGGCTGCTGGTACTAATCAGAAGTGATGGCTGATCCCATTTAGAGGCAGGGAAGAGGCAAAGTATGGAGACTAGGACTCTTACATTCCAGCAGCCCCTCCTCAGGGAGCACTTGGAAATAGGGAAGATGGAGCCCTTGGATCTCTCAGCGCTTTCATTTATGTTTTTTTAAGGCAACATCTACGTACAACAATTGTGAGCAGAATTGCCATTTTCCTATAAATTGCATCAAATGAGGAAATGGGCAAGGAGTGGAAAGATCTGTTTGCTGATTATCATCTCTTCAGTATTCACAGAGTATATGTAACTGGCTGTCTAAAAACAAAAAACAAAACCCCCAACCACAGATATATTTTCCAACGCGGTTTTAGTGCATCTGACTCATTTATTCTGCATTTTTACCGCTGTAGTGTAACGTAAGCACCATTCCTAAGTGTTCCAAATTGACACGGAAGTTTCAATACTTTTTGTAGACATCCTTTTACTCATGGCAGTGTGATTTCTGAAGTTATCCTACCCTTTGGTGAGCTCCAAGCGGAATCTGTTGTTTGTTTGTTTTCTAAGTGTTCTCCACGTGTGCAGCTGGCAAGCCTGAAATACTATTTGCATGTCACCTCACAAGGCAAATGCATATTGAGCCTTTTTCTTCAAGATTAGCACCTGCAAGGATCTCCTAACCAATGAAACGCAAAATCACATCAAGGTATGAATTAAATTTTTTTCGTGCATCCAGAAGATAGAGTACATGAGATCAGTCCAGTGGGAAAATGTGAGATTTGAATGGAAAATAAAAGGTGGTGTAGAAATGCTAGCTCACATTTATCCTAAGAAATTTGCAGAATAGACAAGGCAGGTGTTGCTTTTCATACCAGTGGCTGGATTTTTTGTGTGTGCAACCAAAGCATACCTTTCCCTCCACCAACCCAGTGCAGTATACATGCGCACACACAGTACAAGAACCTGTAAAATGTTCCCACTGGTTTACTCTGT